TCATTCTAGAATGAAACAGGCATAATTTATATTTATTTCCAAATTTTTTGATGATGGTTATGAGATAAGTCATCTCTATCGAACCCATACACAGATTCATTACTGAAAATAACAGATAAAATATAAAGTTTTTTCTTAAGAAATGTTTGATAACTATCTGGACATTATAAAGATTTCACGTGTGAAATTTGAAAATTTTCTGATCCATAAAAATATTTTTAATCTTAAAATTAAAATTACTTTGCATGTTGGATAGGCAACATGCAAAAATAAAAAAAAGGCATGAGAAAAACATTGCTTTACAAACCTTAACACTTAATAAAAAAATCTGATATGTTAAGTATGAAACCACTGTTATTTTTACTGATAATCTGACAAATTTCGTTAACATATGCTTACTAATTTAAAAGTTATAGCATGAAAACTATAACAAGCATAAAATGGTTATGAGGTCGGGCTCAAGGTCCAAGCCCATGCTGAAAGAGTTAATACAATAAAGTGAGCTATGGGTTCGCCAAGTGATTTACAACATGTACGGCAGGATTATAATCAGACATAGTTAATAGGGTAATAATAATAATAAAACAATAACTATAAACAAATGTAGCCTGTTATAAGCCTAAAACTATTTAGGATAAACAATTGTAGTTTTCTGTTCTAATTTGCTAATATTTTAGAAAGAAAAGGTAATTTAAATTTATTTCATTTTTTTGTTTTGGTTACAAAGTCTGGCAAATTTACCGAGTCTGTATAGTGTTAAGGTAAAGAAAATAACAGATAAAATATAAAGTTTTACTGAAGAAAAAGTTGATATTTATTTAAGAGGTTTTAGAAGTTATGCAAATGAAAGTTGAAAATTTTCAGATGAAGAAAACTGTTTTTCATCTTAACATGAAAATTGCTTTACATTCAGAGCAGTCAACACTTTGACTCAATATATTTAGAAATCTCTAGTAAAAATACTTAATTAAGAAATGTGATTTTTTTGTACAAAAGACTTGTAATGTTTACTGAAAGCTTGCCAAATTTTGGAAAGATACACAAAACATGTTAAAAGTTATAGTAAGAAAACTCTGATGGTTACAAGGTCGGTCATATTGACTGACCCTGTATGGAAAGAGTTAAGCTGAATCAGATTTTTGTGTCTAACAACTTACCGACCAAGATAAAAGACACAATTAGCCTTAGCCTACAGTTATAGAATTGGAAAAGAATTTATAATATTCAGAATTTAATGAGGAATAAAGTCATACATTTTTTGGTTTAAATGGTGCTAGATGACTATAAAACCTGCATTCAACAAAACAGTAAAATCAGAATTCACAAATTAGTGTACTATCACAAAGTTAAATTTTTAGTGTATACACTGAACACACTACTAGTGAAATTCAGTGACAAAGCAAAGTTCTCTTTCCAGATATCAAGATACTATTTCAGTCACTAACAACATAGAAAAAATTAAGCATGTGTGAACATATTTCAAGTTTATACTTTTTGATTACTTAAAATTGCATCATGGATAAGAAATGAAAGAAAATTATTTTATGGCCATAATATCATAATTGTTCTAAATTGTTTAATGCAATTTTTCTGAACATCCATCAACTCACCTCAGCCCAAAAACAAACAATGAGAGAGGAGCCTGTAATAAGAACTGGATAATATGCACTTAATAAACTAGACGTCCACTGAAGTGCTGCATTCTCCTGGAAAAAAAATTAAAATTAAAGACTAACTTCATTATAGTGTTGCGCAATGGTAATAAAACCTATTATAAGTCCACATAACTTGATAATAAATATAACAAAAGAAGAAAAATACAAACAATAAATCACATAGGTCTGAGAAATTAACCCTAAAGTAATCACATAAATGTTGAGAAAGGGCACTTTATCTAAAGGCTTTCCCTGGAATCAACAGCTATAATATTTATGTTCTTTAACTTCATATATTTACTGTATTATTGTTTCATGTCTTATATCTGTCTAAGTTTGTTTTGCTACAAACGTATTCAACATTGTTCGTTTTAAGCCCCACGTAGCATCGAAAGTACTTTTTTATTTTTTTATTAGAAGTCTGATGAATGAAAAATTTATTAATTCTCCGTATACAGGCTCGATCATTTTTGTCAACCCTTTAACCACCATGTAATGGTTAGATAAACAATGTTTGGTATTGGCTAATGGTTAGATAAACAATGTTTGATATTGGCTGATGGTTAGATAAACAATGTTTGGTATTGGTTACTGGTTAGATAACCAATGTTTGGTATTGGCTAATGGTTAGATGAGGTATCTCCTGTTACCAACATATATCTTCCAAGACTATTATCCACTGAAGGTTTAGTCATTAAGAAGGTACTTAAAACTGATACATGTTTTTAGTGGCAGCTGTATGTCTGTTACAATATTTAATAGTATGAATATGAAATTATTCAACCTATAACAACTACAGTTAATATACTTAAAGCATACTATGGTGAAAGGTTTATTATGGTCTGCATTAATTCCAAAGCAATTTTATACTTACTTGTACATCACATTTAAAAAGAAACAAATATTTTTGTTTAACTAGCAAACTATAGAATAGAAGGTAGTGTTTAATGAATTAAAATGCTTACCGGAGATGAGAAATAAAAGCCTCTGATAGATGTGGCTATACATATTAAAATATACAATGCTTTTTGTGTTGTTATTCGACATGCTTTTAACACAGATGGTGACTTCATTCTTCCATATTCTGATTTCACACATAGTAACTAAGAAACAGAACAAGAACCCACATGTATGAGGTACTACTTAGAGACAATGCACAAGCAAACTAGTTGTAAACTATGAGAAATAAGACAACACACACACAGCATAAAAATGGAACAAAAAATGATGTGTGTTTACTTTTGCACTAATTGTAACAATTAAAATAGATATGTTTTTTTAAATGGAAAAGATATATTACACAATGTGGCTTATCTAATAATCACTTTAACACATTTAACTTATATTACAAAACAGAACAACTTATTCTAACAATGTTAGCAAATATTTATATTTTACATAACAATTTAAATATTTTAAGATGCCACCAACTCACAATATACTCACCAACTGCACAAAAGATACAACACTTATTATGTAGAATATACTAGAGAATGCAATGAAGTATCCCAGGTTTGGATCAGTGCAGCTTCCCCCACTGTACTGCACCTAATAGATATACTGTTTCTTAAAATCATATCTATGTTTTAAAAAGATTTAACACAACATTTTCAATGGTATTCTTCATTTTTTTAAACATTTTACCATATTTAAAGATCATAACTAAGGCCAACGAACACGAAGTCCTCGTAAAGAAGATTCTTCTAATTAAAATACTGATGTAGTACCTTATTCGACCCAATCAGTTGTAAACGTATACCCCTATATGTTTAGGCATTACAAGAACAATCGTTTTCCAGATTATAATGAAAATGTTTGAGAAAACTAATAAAACAAACATTTAAGATATTAAAAAAAAACAACAATAACATATAACACACATTCAGATGTAAAATAATCAAAGAATAATGTAAAGAGATTAAAAAAGAAACTAATGAAGCTTTATCTAAGTTTTTATTTTATTACAATTTAAAGCAATTTCCATTTTTTCTCACTAAATGAACTCAACATGATGCTTATTTTTTCTTGCTTTGTTCTTGATAAATAAGTTTGAAAAAAAAACAAATATATTTTCTGAATAAACCTATTCTGAAAAAATTATACCAAATACTATTACAACAAGAGATGGACAATTAGTGGAATCTTGTAACTGATTAACTGTTGGGCTCATTAACCAATTACATTCAACCAATCAAATTGTTCTCACCCAAGAATTTGGATAGTTTAAATACTTTAAAATAGTAATAATGAGAAATGCTAATTTTGATTAGTTGATTATTTTGGTGAATCATCATCCTAATCGATTAAGCACAACAACCTTAAATTTATCAAAAATAATGAAAAATTATAGTGGCAATATTTCAATTATTTGGATAGGTGGAATAATAAAAAAACATAATTTTGGTTAGCTGACTATTTTATATGCCACTAATCCAGGCAATCAATACTCATAGGTAATTAATTATATCCATTTTTTAGTTAATTGCCCAGCTCTAATTACAACTACTACATTTCATACTTCACAAAAACAAACTCCTTGATAGCAATCCCCATGTCCTGAACAATTGTCTACACATCTGTCCTCCATCATATTCCAAAATGATAGTCTCATCAATGGAGGGAGAAGAGTAATGATGCTAGGAGGAGGATCATCAGATTCCAACATGCTTGTTACCTACTGAAACACATAGGCACAAAGCCAGCAGTTTGAACACACCTCTCCACAAGAACCTAGGTGGGAAACAAATACAATTATATCATTTCAAATTTTAGCTTCAAAAACAAAATGGAAACTTTTTTTACTAAATTACAAAAGACAGGCCTTGGTCCTAAGTTTTGAATGCACTATCAAATGGTTGCTATTTTTTAACACTAGAAAATGTGGGACTGATACCAGCAACAACATTCTTTATTCTCTAAACTGTAACTGTGTCATAATTATTTTATGTATTTAATGTTGATAAATGTGTGTATATATATCCTCTTTATGTGTATAAAGTGTGTGTGTTATGTTGTTTTTTTCAGATATTAAAACATATTTTAATAACATGCATCAATGATTTTATTTTAACTATTTCACAAAAGTTAAAAGTTGTACAACTTGCATTAAAACTATCACCTGGATCAACAAAGTTTAAAGTACCCCACTGAGGAGAGTCACCCTATACTAAAACAAGCATTTGATTATTAAAAGACACGCTTTAAATATCGAAAGCTGACAAGGCATAAGAAGCAAACAGGCTTAACATCTGTGTTAATCATGAACACATTAAGAGAAATGTGTGAAAAAATGTACAGTTTATGCTACTTCATATTTCATTATTACCTCCAATGAGCAACCATTTAGGCACAGTATTCTAACCATGCTACTGGTAAAACTGCATTGAAGAGGAGGTATGATGAATCTAGCTGGCTAGCTCCTGTGCCAATTGCTTTGCCAACCAATTAAACAAGTTTAAACTGTGATCTAAGCTATTCACATTTCTTCATACTTAGCCTGAGAATGCCATGCAGCTCAAATGTGAATTGAAAAACAGGTATGGCATTGGAAAGGAAAAAAAATTAATCATAACTGTAGTAGCTTGTATACTCAACAGTAAGAATTTGTGAATCTTCCTTCTGAAATGTGTACTAGCAGTTTCTTCTGGTGCCTACTAACTTTTACTAGCAAAACTGTAACACTAATCAGCAGTTTTCTAGTTTACTGCTTTTAATTTCATGCCCTAGAAGATTAAAGAATTGGCAAAACTTGCTTCCTTTTGTCAGCAGTTATATGTACAATATCTTGTCAATTATTTTTATCTTGTTTTTATCTGTTTTACATGACATTTGGAAAAATGACCTTTAAAATACTTAAATTGAAAAGTTTAATTTCAACAAAACATTTTTGCAAATGGTAACAAACTTTTATTGTTTAACAATATTCCTTTATTTGCAAATAAAATTTAAAAAAATTTAGTACTGGAAAATACATTATTACATAGAAAATAAAACTTCCTTAATAGTTACATGACTAATAATTCTTAGTTGAACTACATTAAAAAGAATAACATTTGGGAATAACATCCATGGCAAAGAAAGAAAGTGTAAAATTGTATATTGTTTGTTTTTTGTTAATCACAAAGCTACACAATAGTTTGTCTATGCTGTGCCCACCACAATTATCAAAACCCTGTTTTTATCAGTGTGAACCCTCAAACTTCCTGCTAAGCCACTGGAAGGGAGCATATATTTATAATAAAATATATTTCTCAAATTAAGTACTTTCACAACAAACTTTTATGCAAACTATCATTTACTTAATATCAAAACAAAAATAACCACAAATATGAAGGCTGAAAGAAGAAGCACTAAACTGGAGATGGACAGAAATACAAAAAAATTTCATTTTTTTGAGTTATAAAAATTCTAATAAGCAAAGGAAACAAAATTAAATACATTGGTGCATTTGAAATAATAACCCAAAATTAAGAATAAACTAAAAGAAAATGCATGGAATATTAGATCAAAATACTGCATTCATAATAATAATACAAACAATAAGCCATAAAATTATACCTCTTATACAGTGGTATATCTAATGTAAAACAAAAAACTACAAATAAGCCATAAGGAAAGAAAAAAGGGTATTGGTGATAGACTGGTGCAACCATAATGCTAGTATTAATAGAAAAAAAAAAGACATTTTGATATAAAATGACATATCCACATAAGTGTAAGAGGCTAGATAAGACAAAAAGAACATTGTGTGGATATAAACTGATGCAACCAAAATAGTAGAATAATGTAAGATATAAAAATTCTAAAGGAAGATATAACAATGTAAATATACATTTCACTAAGACAAAGATAATTTAACATAAGAATAGCCCTATAAAAAACAAAAAAATACCCATCAGGTAGAAAGAGAACAATATATCACAATGCACTGCATAACCACAAATACATTAAAATAAAAAAGGCTTACCAACATTTATGTCTCAATGAAAACCAAGTATACAGACCACAGCACTACAATACCTACGATAGAAAGATATTAAACTCTTCAGAAGCACAAACAAATATGAAAAGTGAGTAATGCCTGTAGACAAGGGCAACAGAACAAAATAGTTCCATATGTACAGCAGAATTCATTCTAGCATTTCAGAAGTTGCATTCAAATACTTAACTACCATCTGTTTGTATAAAATGAATGGGATTTTGCCATTTGGCTAAAATTAACACTTAACTCCACAACCTTCCAGCTTGAATCTGACAGCTATCAAAATGAGGTGACATCTGTGTATTAATTATGAATATTTGTCAGTGCTATGTGAATTAGATTTTGTTCAAAGTTCATAATAACTTGCATAAATTACCAAATATATATATATATCATTATATATGCCTAATTAAACTACTATTTTTATAAAAAATATGTTCACATTTGGAAAAATATTACTTTAATTAATAATTAAAAAAATGCTATCAAGTTTAATACATGTCAGTTGTATAACAGGTTTTCCTTTTTTTTCAACTTGAATTTGAATACAATGTAAATATTGAGTGATAAGGTTCAGATTATATCAGTTGCAGAACTTGTTTCACAATCAATGTAGAATGAACTTTTCTGAACTAAGTTACAAAATAAGTAACAACATAACATCAAGATTTTGTTACTTGTTTTATAGCTTAGATCATAAAATTTTGCTTTACATCTTAAATTTTTATTTTCAATCATATTTAATAGAAGACAAGATAGAAAATATCACAAGAGTACTAAAACCTTATCTCAAATGAAAAAATTTGCATATTTAAAGTCAAAGCTTGCACCTATCTATAGTAGTGAAGATCTTGAATGCACATCTACAGTTGAAATGTTCAACATAGGGTCTTCCACTGAAGGAATCACCTATAAAGTGGCTTCTTCATGAGCTGAGAATACAATTACGGAACTTTTTGGTAAACGTTTAAAAAACTGAATTCTAAATAAAAGAAAGAATTTTCCATTAAGTTTGTGTTCCATAGTTCTATCATTCTCATCACTAAGTATGAGAAAAGATGATGCATAAGCACTATCAATTCCATTAGCAATCTTAAACATCTCAGATTCCCTCTAATTCTTTTTTTTTTAGGAGAAAACAACTTCAGAGATCTTAATCTATCCTCATAGGACCATCTTTAATCTGAGGTATCATCTTAGTAGCCTTCCTCTGAACCCTTTCCAACAATTTAACATCCGTTATGAGGTAAGGAGCCCAAGACTGAACACACTACTTCAACTGTGGCATAACCAATGAATTATACAATGACATTATAACATCTTTAGACTCATATTCATTATTTCTGTAGAAACAACCTACAGTCGTATTTGCCCTCCCACTAGCAACAAACACACAGCTTGGATGGTTTAAGAGACTGATCAACCACTACACCAAGATTCTTTTCTTCCATAACACAGTTAAGATTATTCCCATCAAAATTATACTTATAATTCAAATTGTGATAACCCACATGCATTACTTGCATTTATTAAAAGCATAAGCCATCTGCCATTCATCCATCCAACTCACTATATTATCTATATCCTTTTGTAAATCAGTAGTAGCCTCCTTATAGTCAGCAACCCTTAATATCCTAATATCATCAGCAAATTTATGTAATTTACTGACCACTCCTTAATATATGTCACTAATGTAAATCAAAAAGATCAAAGATCTTAACAATGAGCCTTAGGTACCCCACTTCTAGCATTAATCCAGTTTGACTGAACTCCATTTATAGCCACACACTACTTTCTTCCATCCTGTCACATTTTCATCCAATGAGCCACCTTTCCCTCCACACCTAAAGACATAATTTTTGAAAAAGCCTTTTATGTTGTCTCCTTATCAAATGCTTTCTGAAAATCTAAATACAAAAATCCACACTCTTACCTTAATAACTTCTTCAAAGAATTTAAAAAGGTTAATAAGACAATATTTCCTTCTAGTGAAAGCATGTTTACTATCCAATAAAATTGTAAACTTCGTTAAATGACCTTGTAAAGCATCTTTCAGATTTTCAAAAACATTTCTCACCATTGATGTAAAATTGTAAGACTAACAGGCCAATAATTAATGGGATGATTTTATACCTCCCATGAATAAGCCTATTTAATTATGTTATCCTTAGGTGTAAACTTAAACAAGTTAAGCTTAAAGCCTCAGAATGTTCTAGTTTCCCTTACAAAGTTGGAAGCACAATATATAAATATATATATATATTTCTTAATATATAAATTCTCATCTCATTGTTTTTGCATTCAATTTCAGAGACAACTTTCAAAGAGGATAAAGTACTGTACTTTCATAACTTTTCAAAGGTAAAACAAAGAAATCAACCTTTACAATACAAAGTATATCTTTGTTGCAATTCTGAACATCATTTTATAAACTGTAACTTATAAGTTTAACTAGCCCTAACTTAAGTTAAGGCTAACTCCAATCAAATTACACTACTTTGAAACGTTAATTACAGATATTGTTTTATGTTTTAACCTATCCATTTCGTTTATTTTAAGACTACAACTACAAGTCACTACAAGTTAAGCGTCAGTACTATTACTTGTATTAGTACTCATACAAATTATAACTTACAAATCATAACACTAACAGTCATCTGACACTGACACCACAGCGACTACAAATTAAAATTTACATACGTCATAAGTTTTTATATATTTACTTTGAAATAAAATACTTACAATTTGC